CGCCCGGGAGACGGGGGTTGGGGGCGGGGTCTGGTGTTGGATTGTCTGGCCGGGCTGGGCCCGAGGCCTCCATCTTTCTACCCTCCAGCGCTAGGCACAAAGGAGCCGCCAGGGGTAGGCTGCGGTGCGTACCAGGGCCGGGTCGAGCCGGGCGCGGGGAGCCGCAGCGCGGGGCAGGTCTGGTAGGAAGCGCCGGGAGCGCCCGCGGGAGGAGGCTGGGGCTGGGCACGGGTGGCGGAGCTGGGTCCGAAGTAGTGGTTTTCGGCCTGGCTCCCGGGCCCTAGCGCGAGCGGGCAGGATGTGCGAGGAAGCCCGGAGCCCCGCGCTGCACCCTCGTGTGGCTCTGTTGTGGTCCAGCATCGAGAGAGCCGTGCGGGCTGTCGCTGTCTGGGCGCCGTGTCTATTTGGCTTCTGAGAGGGGTGTGGGTGGAGCACAGCAGGTAAAATGAAAGGAGGAGCTTTACTCCTGCGCCAGGGGCCTCGGGCTGTGTTAATCCGTTTAAGGTGGAAGCAAAAACAAAAGTAACTTCATTGGAATGAGTTGACCTGCAGGACCGTGAAATGGGAGCTGTGTAGGTAGCAGGATTGTAGAAGAAAGGACGGCTGAATTAGTGGAGCATCAAGACCTTTAAAAAGTAGAGAGGGTCATTAACACCTGCGGACTGAAGAGTTTTAGAAGGGATCTGCTAGATTTTGATGAGCAACGAATTCAGATGACTCCCTCACTGCTGCCTGAACAGAAATGCTGCTGTCCTTGGGTGGGTGGTGCCTTGAATCTAGAAAGGTTGAAGACCACTGCTGTAAGTACTGGAAGGCTAGATCTGGTAGTCAAAAGGCACAAGGTTTCTCTGTTATACATACAAGTACAGCTAAATCGAGGGCAGATCCCTCCTTTCTGTTTAAGGCATTAGAGAAACTGCTTTTGTGAAGAAAGTGATCACGATTTGGGAGTTAGTGCATAATGCTTGTATTAGCCAGACCTACAAAGTCTTGGTCCATGTTCTGTGGCCCTTGCTTACCACACTGAATTAAGATCACTTTACTTACTGTGAGCCCCATTGCTTTAATGGAATAGCTTAGAATAAATTATGTTTGTTATATGCCATTAAAAAGGCAAAACAAAACACCAAAATTAAGTTCTCTTCTGTGTAACAGAACATAGAAATACCAGTACTTGATGCACCAAAATGCTCAAGTCCGTGTTTAACCCAAATAGCATTTTAAAATCATTATGCTGCTTACACTTAAATGTGTTCGGGGTACGGTGCTATGAAGCAAGACTGGACTACCTAATATTTTGGTTAGAAATATTATATAAAACCTACGAGTGAAGTATAGCCTCAATGACTGTAAGTCTTCCCGAGCCTGAAATTATATGTTTCAAAATCCACTACCCTGGCTGCAAGGATATTCATTCAAAGAATGAATTCTGACTTCTCAATAACATTTCAGAGGCTTTGAGAGAGAGCTTCCTGATTCACAAAAGAGAAGCTGTAATATATCAGGTTGCAGTGAGTGTTCTAGTAGTATCAGATGATAATGATTTAATCTAGGATCCTTCTGGGAACCTGAAAAAACCCAAAAGGATTTTGCTGAACCTATACATACATTTTGTTCAATGGAAGAGTCCTTTGAAGTCAGAATCTGCAGTTATTTACAAAAGTGGCGCACTCATTACTTGGATATCCTTATAAAGCACATTTCCTTCCCTGCGTTATCAAAAACATCTTAAGATTGTTAATTCACTAAAAGCTTTAAAGATAGCATTTATTTTATCACAACTTATTCTTTGTATTTCTGTTAATATGGACAAGTGAAGATGGGCTGAGCATCACCTCTTTTGATGGTGCGCTAGTGGGTGCGTCCACCTGAGATGCTTAGCACATTATAGCAAAACATGTGCTAATGTAGAATAGAATTAGTTTACTGCACGTTGTCACAAAAAGACCATGTGCTGGGCACTATTACACAGTAGCGCTAATTACTGCACATTTAATTAGTATCTCATATTAGAGGTACTAAACTTAATGCCACATTACAACGGTGCATTAATGCTTTGGTAAATGTGCCCACTATCACTGAGTTTGTAGATTTCTGTTTAAAAATAAAATTCCAGCAATGAGTATGTTGAATGAAGTCTTCCCACATCTTTTTGTCCTATCCTAACGTCATGGTTTCACTAGTCTTAATAGCATGAGCGTAACCTCCATTTCCTTTGTTTTTCATTTCTTGCACTTGTTTCTGTCATGGCTTGCTCACAGTGTCCTTTTGAGGTCCATTCATGACACATGTTCAAACTGCTCAGTTGTTACTTCTCAGTTTTCTTATAACAATGTGGGGGTGGGAGAGGGGAAGAAAAGAGATTGTTATTTTGTTCTGGCTGCTTCCTTGTCCTTTCATAGTTTTTCTATAGTCTTGAAACTTTCCGTATTCCCTCTCCACTAACTTATTTCTAACATCTTTTGTAAGTTTTCCACAATTCGATCCTGTGCAACAGTATTAACAAAACAGCTGTCTCAAGTGCTAATTTTCATTTAAACTGGCTTTAGTTTTGAACTTTGAAAGGCTTTTTGAATGTAGTAGTGACTGGCCTTTGTTCTTTTTCCCCCTCTCCTCTGCCAATTCCCATTATTTTAAACTAATCTTCCAAGATCCCTCTCTGTATCCCCGCCAGCTTTTTCTAGTTCTTTGTTTCATTAATGATCTTTGCCTTTGGGCTGACATTTTTAATATTTTTACCATACTGATCCTGATTTCATATCTTATTGTAAATCTTACTCTTCCTTATCTATCTTGTTACTTATTTTCTTTAAATTCTCCTTGGTCAGTGCTATAACATATAGTCTGTGGATTTAAGCTTATTTGTTGTTGTCTTGCATAGTGACTCCTCCCTTTTCATCTCTTTAGATCCTAAATCCAGTACTTCTGCCAGTGCTAAATTGGACAAATCTGGCAATAGTATCACCCTTATCTCAATCCCATGGTCACCCTGAACCATTACATCAGCTTCTTCCCTGCTGTCACCATGTTTCTCAGCTTGCTGCAGATATTTTTCATCACCTTGATCACTTTCTCAAGGATGCCATATGTTCTCAAAACTTTCCATATCCTTTTTTTGCCAGATGCTGTTAAAAGGCTCTTTGAAGTGTAAAAAAATTATTGTAATCTCGTTGGTTTTGTCCTGTGGATTTCTGTAAAATATGTTGTATCACAAATAGTTGATCCTGTTGCACTTCTTCTTTGATTTAAATCCAGCTTGTTCCTCTGCAAGTACTACTCTCATTTACACTTTCATTCTCATCTGCAGTAGCTTGGTCGATGCTTTTCCCAGGACACTGTAAAAACTAATTGCTTTTGTAGGTGTTTGTTACACATGCTCTTGCTTTCTTCTTAATGGGCCAGTAATATACTGCCTAATATACTAATGCAGGGGGTTGTCAGCTGGGGGTACCTGAGAAGGCCCTGGGGGTATGCGTGGGCGGGCAGGAACGGAGTGCCGTCATGTACCATCCTGTGCTGCTGTGCAGGCACTGCCCGCCCAGCCAGGTGCGGGGAGCAGCGGGAAGCTCACACTGCTGTCACTCTGTATTCAGCTGCACCTCACCACCCCCTCCCCCCACTCTGTGTCCGGCTGCCGGGGGTATGCTGCTCCATGTCCAGCTGCTGGGGGTACACTGATCCAAAAAGGTTGAAAACCTGTGTACTAATGTATTTACTCTTGTAAACCTTGCTAAATAGTGTGCATTGCATCTTGTCATATTTCCTTGCCCATTCCAGCAGCTCTGCAATTGTGTTGTTAACTTCATTGTGCCTTTTTCTTTGTCAAACTTGTCAAGGTCTTTCCTAGAATCATAGGAAATAGGGCTGAAAAAGGACCTGGAAGGATCCTGACCCAAGTCAGGATTGGCCATTTTTAAACTCGGTATACCTATACCTTTACTGCTGCCTCTAAGAACCTTGGTGTCTGTTTTTCCTAGAGTGCACTGGGAAGCTTTTTGAGGATAATTTAGTTTACTGTTGTCAGCATGTTATTCAGATGTTTGGTACATTACTTCCTATAGCTTGCTCTGCTTACTCTTCCTAAGCTTTCTCACACTTGTCTTTCACTCCCAGCATCCATAACTCAAACGTCGCAGTCAGTTATTTTATCTTGCAATATGCAGCCACTCTTTCTCTTATGTTCTGCTTCCTTAAATTGTTCAGTTGTTCACTTGCTTGTTTCTGCTTTCTAGTTCAATTTTCCGGTCAGTATATTGTACTCTGCTCTTAAGTTTGCATCTTTGTTTTTATTCTTTTTCAGTTTCCTATGCTGTCAGCCAGATGCAGCACAGTAGCCCAACACTTGTTCAGATGCTCTTATAATCTCATTTTTGTGTTGTTTCATGTCTCTCCAGCCCCTACTCTTTCTTTTATCAAGACGCATGCCCCTTCCAGTTTTATCTTTAATTATTCATTTTAAAACCCTCATCACTGATGCACCTTGTCTCAACACTTCCTGTATTGCTTTCAGTAGATCATTATAAAACATGTCAATTTCTTCTTTGGAGGGGTTACTAAGTTGGGACCTGTACTTGTGTTTCTGTTACTTAGCTGGATTAGATTTCTAAATGTCACCTTTAACATGAAAAGTTACTGTAAGAGGCTGGATTGCTTTCTGTTTTAGGAATAATGCAACTCTGTTCCTGAGGTGTACTATCTTGCCAGGCTCAATAGCCTGAGTTGACTTTTGGTGTAAATTCTTCTGTGCCTTCTGCTCTTATTTCACATATGCCAATAATTTCAGTCACAGTCCTTTCAGTGTTGTCCATCATTACCACAAGAGTTCTTGCTTTTACTGATGCTGTTACAAATACCTTATCCTTTGAGGCTTACCAGTTGAGTCTTTGCATATTATTGTGTCTCTTCTTTGCGAGTTTTTGTTTTTTCAGGTCTTATTCTTCTTGCGCTTACCCCCTCCCTCCTTCCTATTTTGAGTTATGAAATACTACTCTGGTTTAAATGGGCTGCAACCAAGATGGCATGAAGAATGGTAAGGAAAACAAAAAGGCATTAGATTTCTGTTATTGTTCCTATGAATTTGAACCTTATTTCTTGGTTTTGTGGTCATCATGATGATCTGCAGTGTTGCTTTTTGTTATCTGCTGGTTTGCTCCAGTGATGTTGTCACCAGTGTTTTTATTTCAGAAATTGTTTTGCCAGCTTTTCCTCATGAGACAATATTTTTCAAGGGCCATATGTGCCACAAAACCATAGAAGTCTGGAAGGGGATCTTAGGAAGTCATCTTCTACCCTGTGCTCAAAGCAGGATCATCCCTATCTGAAAAATCCTATAGAAGTTTTTGTCTAACCTATACTTAAAAATGCACATATTGCCCCTCATCCATAGCTACCTGGCACAATGCCCAAGATCACCCTAACTTGACACAGGTAGAGCAGGATAGTGAGGGTACAGTCCATGTTCTGCCACTGTTAGGACAGGAAGTAGTTGCTACAGAGAAAGGCAAAAAACCCATAGACCATGGCAATCTGACTGAGGTAAAATTCCTTCCTGATATCAAATGTAGTGATTTGGTCTGACCTTTGGTAGAGTAGCAAGACCTTCTGGCCAGGAACACCCTGTACAAAATCCTCGACCTTGGCTGTAGCTAACACCCAGCCCTTCTGAGGGAGGTAGGGAAGAGGGTGGAGAAAGCTGACACCTGTAGTATCAAGAGGGAAAAAATTCCTTCCTGGCCCCTTGTGGGCCGCATCCAGACAAGCGTGGCTGTGAGGTATGTGGCACTGCAGACATGTCTGTGGCATACCATGTACCACAATGTGTCATTCAGCTGTGCTCCACACTACAAGGTAGCAGTGGGGGTTTTTTGTGTGTTTGGTGGGGGGGGTTTTTGGTTTGTTTGTTTGTTTTTTTTACCCCACCCCCAGCAGTGCACGTGGGGGCAGTGTGCACCACCCAAAACCAAAACTGGAGCCTGGGCAGCTGGAGCTGGACTCTGGCTGCCAGCCAGGCACCAAATGGCAGGATTGCTGCTGCTGCAGCCCCAGGAGGCCCCCAGGACACCAGGTAAGGCTGCTGGACCCAGCCCAGTGCTGGCCTCAGCCTCCCTTGCCTCACCTAAGGTAACCTGCCATGTGCCATAGGCGTTCCCTGGGGAGAAGTAGCAGTGGCACAAGGTGTCATGGGCAACTGGTGCCTTCTGAGTCAGGGGGGCACTTGCCTCCCTTCCTCCCCACAGTGGCCAGTCAGCAACCAGGGTCCTCCCCCCGCCCGCCCCCGTGGCCAATTGTGCTGACCAGAGGGGGGGTCCCCTGTGGCCAATATCACTTCTGGGTAGGCACAATTGGCTGCAGGGGGGACCACAGGGATCGCTTCTCCTGGTGCTCCCACTTCTTGGCTGGTGCTCTCGGGGGGGGGGGGCACCAGCGCTTTCACCTGCCCATCGCCTAAGTGGGGAGTGCTGCCTATAGGGGGGTGCACCAGCACTCTCAGGGTGCATGTGCAACCCTGTGTACCCCCTATGTGTTGCCACTGCAAGGTGTGGAACTGTTTCTTGTCCCTGGGGAAACAAATGTTCACACTCCATGTAGACATGGCCACAGTGATCAGGAAATTGCAGAAGAGTAGAGGGAAAAACCCCCACACTGAACTCTGCACTGGAACCTCAGGACCAGAATGACAAATCCATGCATCACACCTGCCTGGAGTGCCAGAACTCCCTTTTCCATTTCCCTATGTGCTCCATAAACTTATTCCAGCTCCTTTAACTTTCTTGCTTAATTACTAGCTAGAGTTGCTAGTTTTTAGCCTGAAAATTGAGGTAGGATCTAAAGTAGCGTTTCCCAACTGGTGTGCTCCAGCACACTGGTGTGCCATCAGGCATTTTGGGCTGGAGTCATACCCCCTGCCTGGCCGGTGGTGTGGACACAGACAGACGGGGACTGTGGTTCCAGCCCCAAATGCCGTCTGGCTGGCTGCGCACTACCCCTCCCCGTTGTTGTCCCTCCTCACCCGCTACTCCACATCTGGTATGCTACCATGCTTTTTTATTTAGGTAAGTGTGCATTGGGCGAAAGAAGTTGGAAAAAGGTTGGTCTAAAGGTGTGGTGCACACACTACTTAGAAATGTAGAAAGGGATCTCCTAGATCAGCAAGACCTTCCCCTGTACTTGGTCTGATGGGCCTTTACAAGAACTTCAATCTTTCAATTTCCAGTCTAATTTTACACCTGTATGACAAAATATTGTCCCAGAAGGGTCCGTAGCACCATCTGCTCTGCTTCCTACCCCAGACCATAAACTATCCCATAACAAACCTTTCATCTTGAGTGTGAAGAGTCTGCACTATGCCTGTAGTAAGCAAGAAGTTGTCAAGGGTGTCAGCAGTGCCTTGGATCCCTGCACTGTCAAGGGATTAGTTGAGTAAAATCTGCCCAGATGATCCTAAGAAGTGAGCTATATAGAAGGCTACAATTTTTCAGTCCTTGATAATTTGACTTAAGGAAAAATTCCTTCCTGATCTCAAATTTGGCAGTTGGTTTACCCTTACTATGTGTTTTGAGATCTACCAGCGAGGCATGTGAGAGCCCTCTAAATATCAGTATGCCCTGGCTATTGTCCCCATTCAAGCTACAGCCTGTCTCATGTTTAGGAGGGGTGGGTTGGGGCATGGAACACAACAAAAGCCAAGTAATTTATTTGCAGGGGAAAGCAAGTTCTTCTTGCCTGCTACAGGCAACCAACAGAAGTCCTGGTGCATAGAATTAATTGTGTGATATGGGCCAAGAAGGAGTGAAAGCAGATTAAAAAGATTAAAGAGGAAAGAGTACTGAACAAAGGAAGGAAATCTAATTCAGATAAAATGGGCACAGCTGCTTGGTCTGGCCTTCCTTACTTGTGCTTGTGCATGCATGCCCATAAAATCTTCTGGAGTCTAAACTAAAGCTTGTCTTTCTGTTCCCCAGGTGTTTGCTAGTGTACCACCTCAGTGCAAAAATAGTTCCAGTGTGTGACTTCTCCCATGAAGCTGCATCTCACCCTGAGACCAGATTTTCTGTAACGTCAGCCCTTCTACCCTAGGCATCCACAAACATATTTTGTACAGACTAATCGTATTCCATCTCAACCATTATTTTGCCAAGATTAAACAAGGCAAATTCCATTTTTTTCTGTCCTACAGCAGGGCAGGGTAGGCACCTTAAAGACTAACTTTGTCAGAGGCAAACCAGGTTGAGGTGGCACAGGGCCCTTGGAGCCCATTTCTAATTAACTGGCATCCGGCTCAGGGGCTGCACACAGTTCCCACATACCGGAATCAGGGCCCTGATCTTGGTGCATAGGGCCCAGTTTGGACCATGGACCAGCGCTTTGCCAGTTATCGGGCCCATGGGGCCAAAACTGAGCATCACTGTCCTAACCCTTCTCTGCCCCTTTTTGGT